TCAGCAAACCATCCACTTAAATGTTGATCAGATATAGCAAATTACATATGCACATACACAGTTCACGGAAATCAGATGTAGGAATAACAAAATTAATGCTTCTGTAGTCTACCGTTACTCATTTGGTTTTTGAGCGAGACATTTAAAATAACATACAATGATAGTATAATGATTCGTAAACAATTCACAAGATAACATAGTCATGAAACAGTCTTCATTAAAGGTGGTTATTTTAACTGTCCAAAAAAATAAATTAATTAAAAAATATATACATTGGTTTCATTGGATGTTTAAAAGTTGACGTCTTTCTTACAATCATCCCTTTAAAAAACATTTGGTTCCAGGATATTTCCTAGCTGATATTTTTCTACAATGATCATGAAAATCAAAGTAATTATTTTTTATAATATATTCCTGAGTATTGTTCATCATTGCTACTGATTGGTGTATTGTATTATTATGAATACTTATTGTTACAAGTAGCATTTATTAATTGGTGATCATTACATACTGTGTCATGATGCACTTGAAGGCATTCACAAATAGATATTGTTTTTAATAGGCAAAGAACTCTTCTTTCTATGGTACAGGAGGAACCAATTCCAATTTAAATAAATAATAAAAAAAAAAAAAACCTAATTGTTTTATCATGCCAAATAAACACCATTTGGCATGGAATAAATTCTGTATCTAGGACATCAAAAACAAACTTTCGGTTTTTAATCCCTACAATAAGAGAACTGCTTTTATCTTGATTTTTATGAGAAACACATCCATACAGTACTAACAGTTTTAAAATAATGTTTTGTTTGAAGAATATTTTTAAAAGGAATTATAATTAAAGAAAAGTTTACCTGTTCTGGATTGTATTTTGACAAGGCCCCATCTCCATTAAATTCTTCCAGTACATCTTTAAGTGTCTTGTGTGAATCTAAACAAGAAATAAAAGGCAAAATTACACATTGTATTCCAACAAAATCGTTTTATCTATTTAAAATAGTTTATATTAAGTTATAAAATGAACAACAAATATTTGTAGTTAATAAAAGATCTTAGTGACCATCTTTGTTACCAATATCTTTGTCACCATCAATGTCATTTTTACCACCACAACCCTTATCTTTGTTAGCAACATCATTTTTACCACCATAAACATATTTTTTGTTAACATCAACATCATTATTAACACCATGATCATAATCTTCGTTTTACCAACATCTTTGTCACCATCAAAGCCATTTTTATGACCATGAACCTCATCTTGTTATCAGCATCTATGTTACCGTCAACATCATTTTCATAACCATAATGTATGTAAATTCATGGGAAGGAAGGAATGGCAACTCCCGGAAGAAAACTTGTCTCTTGTCCTTTAAACTCCATGATCCACCGCTGTTTTCCCTAGATAATCTATCAGTTATTCTTTACATCTTTAAAATAATTATTTAAAATATCAAATCAGTTAAGCTGTGATTTACAGTGTAACTTTTATTTATCAACAATTTTGTTTCCCTCTGCTTAAATGCTTATAAGACCCATTTTTGCTAATTTGTTTTATTTCTGCCTATGCTCCTATTATTCAAAATGCACATGTACGGTACACAGTGAACAGACCTCACGAAGAAGTCCACATTACAATAACTAACAACAAGGTTAGTTGTTCATCAGACATGACTATTTTATTCCACTTGCTCTGGACATACAAAAGCAGTGTGCTTCTTTGACATGCATTTAATTTCAGGTCTCTTTGAAGGAAACTACTTAACAAAGTTGATCATTGACCTGTCATAATTTACATCGGTTACATTTTTATGTCAACAAAGCACAATATTTAAATCAAGACAAAATAAACAACATATTTTATTATATTAAAGTAAACAATATTCACACATACAAACACATATGGTAATTATATTCCATTTAATTTTTATCTTTATATCGTCTCTCTATAGTGAAGCTGTTTTGATCGTTTAAATACTTAAGTGTTTGCAGATGAAGGCGTATCATGTTTATCTTTTTTCTGCGAGTGCTTAATTGACTGTGCATGAAAAAAACGATGCTACTTCAAATCAAATTTGACTACATTTAGCTCTTGCTGAACACCGTTAAAAATGCATGTAAATGTAATATCATAACTTTGGCAGTCTGTTTGATTTTCTCCTCTTTACCATTTCCTATTACTATGAACTTTATTAATCCTAGTACCATAAATAACACTTTCAAGTAATATAGAGCTGTTTAATTGAAGATTACTTTTCAATATTGTATGGTAGAAAATTCCAACTATACTTTGATAGTCATTATTTTCATCAGCATTTAGTTTTAAAGGAGAATATCTATTTCTGTTGACATAAAAGCAAAAATGACAAACACTTAATCATCCTCTCCTACATCAACCAGTGAATAAAATATTACCTGTTTTTATTACTGCACACTGAATACATTGACATTTACAACCTCTATTATTTAATTTTATTTGCTTTGTATTTGTTTACGTTCTAGTCTTTAAGTCAGATATTTGCTATAAAAGCTGGCTAACCTCATTAAATGAAGTTGAATAAATTATTAAATCACAAGCTGTTCATTGTAGTTATAGTAGCCTACATTGGCTTATGAATTTAATTTTAATTTCAAAAGAAATGTTTGTATAATTTTACAGCTTAAGTTTAGTTACATTATGAACTTTTTCAACTATCTCCGAGATAATGATGGACGACTTAAGAGAATTCCCACCTGTCTCCAACCAATACCTACTACAGTGAATAATAAATATATAAATACAACATACACTAACAGAAGTAGGTCACATGTCATCGTGTGTCTAGCCAATTTGAATCAAGCGCCCACAAGATTCAGGCTCTTTAACTGCGGGGGAACACTTTTGAGCAGTCTTGAACTGTGGAATAACAGCCCACTTAGTTCTTGCTGTAAATAGCATTTACACTAAAGATTAAAGATTAAAATTTCAAATACTTATTTTAAATTGGAAATGTTGGCTAGGCCCACCTGGGACCCGCGATAACCATTGTGCAGCTCAAGTTCCGACAGGTAACGGGTATCTTGTCCCTTATCCAACCTAAATCTAATTATCAATTTGGTTATTCAATAAACTGAGCGATCAGAAAGAAATTTCTATTAAAAATATCTTGTGTGCTTTATGTTTCTATTCATCATCACTATTGTTAATCCATCTTGTGCTACCATAAAACCGTAAGTATTAATTTATAGCTTCCTGGGTACTGAAATTTAGACATCAAGAAAGTGAATAAGGAAACTAAATATTTATAAGTGTTATTATAATGTGAGCTCTTTCATTATCATGGCAGCACCAATTAAAGAACGAAGGAGCAATGCATTAAAGCTACCTTTAACTAAATTAAGATAAACAGAAGAATTACTAGATAGTTAATCTTGTGGTTTGGACATATACGGTTAAAATGGCTTTAAACAGAGTACTCAACTGAGTTGACCTACTGTACTTAAATGCGTTCAACATAACTGCGAACAACTCACAAGTAGTTCTTCAGGTAAAGCCTACTTCAACTACAAACCCACCACCTACTTAACGTCTACATGGTGAGTCGAATGGCAAAGCATTTAAGGCTGGGGCCCCGCAACAGCCATATCGGCGCTGGTTCGAACGGCACGCTATCCTATGGTTCTCGTGGTAGAATAAGTCTTCTCGGATAAGGACTATAAACCTGTAGGCCCAGCGTACCCAATGGCTCATGTGTACTATAAAGAACCCAGTACATTATTCGAGACGAGTAGGGGGTACCCCGGTTTGCTGGTACAGACAGCCCCTGTGGTGGACGACAAGAGTGAGGAAAATCATAGATAGAGCTACTAGTACTAGTGCCACATCAAGCACCATGGGCATCTTGTTTGATGAGTACCGGCGCTAAATCTATACTATTATTATTATTATTATTAATAATTTCTTGTACCAGTGTCCCCCTACGCAAAAACCCAGTGTATGATTTTAAAGAGTAGCTCAGCTAGCAATTACAAATACCAAGCAAGAAAAAAAACAAACTTTGATTTGAGCATGCATAGTTGAAAAATTGCCTATTGATTGACTGTCCTTACATACCACTTTAGGATGTACTGTACCATAAGTGATGCTCTAAACCAAATCCATGTGGTTTGGGGAGTGGAGCTGTTTTAGTCATGAGGATAATCTCTTACCTGGTGTTGCAGGATTTGAGC